CCTGCTGAAAGCAAGTACTGCAGATGCAAAGGAGATCTGCTGTGAAGGTCATCAGTAAGCCAAGAAGTCTGGTGCCCTGACATAGCATTGACATTTGATCTCTTCCCTGTGCCATTTTTAGGTTGCCAAAACAGACAAACAGGGCTAAGCAGAGGAAAATAAACCACCCATCATTCCACAAACAGCAAAACATCTTAAGATAATAAACATATGCAGGACTTGCATTATATAGGCTAGCATCAAAGAGAGCATACGAAGCTAGAGATCTTTTTCCAGTGACTCCCAATTGTTTGGTCATATTCAAGAACAAATTCATTCATCCACATCTAACATGTGAGACATTATGCACTCTAGAGATGGCTGTTATGTCAGATGCCAATTTCCAGAGCCCCACATGTGCAACTTCAACTAGAATTTATGTAGATCCAGCTCAAGCTCTAGATTTCACCCTCAGCCACACAACATTTCAACTCAGCCTGCAGATGCCCCGGCCCACTGGTCATTACAGCTACAGTCCAACTGAGATCAGCCAGTGACACTATACCTGTGACTCAACTATATATTTGGCTTCTTATGGACCATTTCATAATTGTGGTGACACCATGGGACAAAAAAAAGGGCTACCCTAAACCCAATTACCTTTAAGCATCTGAGTCCTCTACACAACAGCGTGGACACTATTACCTTATTCTCAATACATGATGATTGCAAAAGCATCAAAGTGAACAAAAAGAGGAGGACACTCAGGTAAAATATAGTACACCACTTCAGGGCTGAATTTCAAAGCCAATCCATTGACAAGAAAGCTAGAGAGTCCTGGAAACATTTTATATGATTTCTCACTTCACCCTCCACTAAAGGAAGCAGTACAAAAGCCCCACAAGGAAACAGTGGGGCAGAAGGGATCATTAAGCAAACACAGGTACATAATCTTCAATTTTGCATATTTAGGTTTTCCTAAACTTTTATGCAACAAAGCGAATTTTTAAAAGGAATGCCTAGTATTATAGCATGAATTAGATTTTCTTCTGACTGCAGAACACTGAAACATGATGGGAAATGCAAAAGTATAAACCACGTTTTAGTTAATACAGTTCATGTGTAAATTTCAGCAGGTCACTGATGTCAGCTGCTTCCTCTGGATTTACTAGGGACAGAGATGAAGCTATGTCTCGTATGACTCAAGAAAAGTATGCTACATTATAAAACATGCATTAATTACATTCAATAAAATAATCCAACCTTAAATCTCTGAGGCTGATGAAACTGTATTGTTGCCTTTTTCTGGTCAAAATCCTTCTTCAGCTGCATGTAATTCACTTTGCCTTCTTTATTTAAAACTTTCTTTTTGCCATTCACACATCTGCAGATATTTATATCTCGACCATAGTATAGACCCTGGCTGCACAGTTCCTTCAAATCTGACAACTGGAAGAGGGACTGGTAGTAAGAAGCCAGGAGAGGATCATTTCTCCGAACAAGCAGCGGCTTTTGCTCCCAGTACTCCCTGAAAAACTTCTCTTGTTCGATGGGAAAGATAAAACTTCCAAAGAGGCTGTCTGGGCTCTCAAAACTCATGACTGACGGAGAACAAGCTGCTTCCACCTTTGCCCGTTTACACTGCACCTCTTTTCCTGTTTCAGCATGCTTCCCTCCTTTCTTAGGCATGTTCCTGTGTTCAAGAAGAGAGAAAACCAAAACAGTCAGCCAGTAACACAGTCTCAAAAGCTCAAAGGCCCAGAGCAGCTTCTTTTGACTTCTCTGGTGGGATATCAGAGTATGCTGGGAACAGCTCTGCTTTCAGAAGCTTACTATTTGCTCCAAGCAGCAGAAAAAAGAAAGCCCACAGCAGGCTTCTAATCCTCTCTCAAACCTCAGCAAACCCCAAAGAGCTCTACTGGGAGCCATTGCTCACATAAGCTCAAATCCCTCAGCCGAGTTCATACTAAAAAAAGTGTTTAAAACCAGTGGTCAGATAAGAGATCGTCACAAATGCAGGAATCCACCCACACAGAGAACCAGTGGCAGACTTGTCCTCTGTAGCACGACCTGCAAATTATTTAAAAAATTAAATCACCTTTAAGAGGCTTAATGGCAACATGCAAAAGGAACAGAGAGAGAATGGTCACAATCAGAGATTTGTATCCTCTAAGAGTTCCTTGGAACATCTGGAAAAAATACCACAATTAAGACTTCCTAGTGACCTTCCAGCCAGAGCATGATGGGAGGAGGATGTACAGCATTTCAAGTGCAGAATCCAACCAGTTAAATGCAGGGAGTGGGGTGTGTTAAGGAAAGCTTTCCTTTCAAGCTGGCTTACACATCATACACCCAGTGTCTACACAGCTGTACAGTTACCAGACTAAAGCTTTAGCAGGACCTACAGAGGAGGCAGCTGCTGCAGTGAAGGGATGCTGACATCAGTTCAACAGCACACAGCAAGGGCTACACCAGAATACAGTGAACAGAAAACAGAAGGAAACGGTTTAAGAAAGAGTGAGGTCAAGCAAAACTGTAGATTGCTGTGAGGAAAGAAGGAATATGTAACCAGGTTCAGTGGACAAGGATGATTCAATTAGCATGAGGGTGACAGCAGCTTCCAGAGAAACAGAAAAACCCAGAGCAGACTCCCCCGTGCAGGCAGAGGAGGTTTTAGGAACATGAAGTGAGGGCACCTGCTTGAGGTTCCAGGTCTTAGGAACAATTTTATGCTAAATTATGAGGCAGTACCAGGCAGCCAGTGCTGCTTGCCACACAGTGGCAACGGCCCACATCTCGGCCTCTGTCAGGTGCTCCATACTGTATCCTGAATGGCCAGGTTTAGCAAAACTAAGTTTACAGAAAAGAGGGAAAAACTAAAATGATAAGAGTCTGCTTTCATTTCTGCAAAGCTGTCAGACTTTGTGGTTTACGTGAAATAAACAGAATTCCTTCAGGCTGAACAAACCCAGTTTTCTCAGCCTTTCCTCAAATGCCAGGTCCCCTTCGGTCCTCTGATCATCCCTCTGGCCTTTCTCTGGACCCCCTCCAGCCTGTCTGCATCCGTTTTGCAGAGCAGGAACCAAAACTGAACATAATATTCCTGGTGCAGTCTGTGCTGCCTGCACTCTTGGGTTATACTTTCCCAGGTGCAAGACCTTACACCTGTCCACAATGAACTTCATAAGGTTCTTGTTAGCCCACTCTTCCAGCCTGTCCAGGTCTTCCAGCAGGGTAGGGTGGCTCTCCCTTCTGGAGTGTCTACTTCCCCACTCAACTTGGTATCATCTGCAAACTTAATCAGGGTGAAAAAAAAACCTGGGCTCGTCCGGGATTTGAACCCGGGACCTCTCGCACCCTAAGCGAGAATCATACCCCTAGACCAACGAGCCGCTGTAGTAACTTGCATTTCATGGTGTAAAAATAAAAAAGCCAATTTACAAACGGTTTAGCTGCCAAATACTCATGAAAGTTCAGGAAAAAATCAAGTAACAGTATCTGTAATACAACAGTATGTGCAGACCTACTTGCCTTAACTTTAAGTCTGCACCAGCATTCCATCCCCCAGAATAGCACAGAGCAGCAGGCAGCAGTAAAAGCCTGCCTGAGAAGCTGAGTCAAGTATCCTGACAAAGAGCCAGCACCAAGCCCTCTAGCACAGCAGCCTGCCTGCTAGGTCTCAGCTTGCCAACTCCAACTGACTCCACGCACGTCCGAGCAAGTTTGTGAAGCCAACACACGAGGAGTTTGAGCATGGTGATGCTCCTGTTTCTAACTAAAAATGACAGCTGTACTACAAAAAGTAAATGCTTTCATTTATTAAGATGCTTTTACCTACACAGATCACTTATCTTTAAACTACCGTTCTGGTATTTGCAGGCAGTACTAAGCTCTGCAGCAGGATGCAGGACATCCTCACGGCTCCACTAACTCCTGGGCAGAGCGTTTCATCAGTAGTTCCTGTAACAGCCTCTACTGCAGCAGTAACCTACAGCCACCTTAGTCATGCAGGAGGGAATCCTTATATCCTTATTGCCACCTTTTGAGAGGATGGATATTCCTGGCTGCAGGAAGCTAGACCTCTCCATTAGGCAACATTAGGCAAAGGAATGAGTAAAAAAGACTGCAGATTGGTTGCTACCAATTGGTAGCAACAGCTGAAATGCTGCGGGCGTTGAGATCTACAACTAACATTACCAAATGCCAGCCACAGAAATGCAACCAAGCCTGAACTGCTGAAGCGCAGACCTAAGTCCATTGTATCAACCTCTCAGCCCACTCACAGTGCATTTAACAAAGTTAAATTCACATATGTACTATTCACAGAATGCATCTTCATTTACACAACATGCTGTTCTGCAGTGTTTAATTCATTATTACAAATGCAGAACCACACAACTGTTTGGACTGCCCCTTCAAAGATCACCTAGTACAAACCACCTGCCATGAGCAGGGATCCCTCCCACTAGACCAGGTTGCTCAAAGACCAAATCAACCTGTCCTTGAACACTTCCATTGATAGGACACCAACAACTGCTGCCCATCCAGGGCAGCATCTTCCAGTGTCTCATCACTGCCATCAGAAAAAAATTCTCGCTTATATCTAATCTAAACCTACCCTCGTTCAGTTTAAAACCACTGTCCCTTGTCCTGCCACTACAGGGCCTGGTAAGAAGTCCCTCTCTATCTTTCTTATAAACCCCCTTTAAGTATTGACAGGCAGCTATAAGGTCTCCCTGCAGCCTTCTCTTCTCCAGGCTGAACAGCCCCAACTCCCTCAGCCTGTCTTCACAGCAGAGGTGCCCCAGCCCTCTGATCAGCTTTGCGGCCCTGCTCTGGACTCGCTCCAGCAGCTCCATGTGCTGGGGGCTCCAGAGCTGGACCCAGCGCTCCGGGGAGCTCTCACGGGAGCAGAGGGGGAGAATCACCTCCCCCGACCTGCTGGCCACGCTGCTTTTTGATGCCGCCCAGGGCACGGCTGCTTTTCTGGGCTGCAAGCGCGTCTGGCTGGCCTTGCTGGCTCACGTCCGGCCTTTCATTCCCCCATCCTACCAAGTCCTCCAGCAGG